TTTCAGTAGTGTGTGTGAGAGCGTTTCAGTAGTGTGTGTGAGAGCTAAAATTTCAGTAGTGTGTGTGTGAGAGCTAAAATTTCAGTAGTGTGTGTGAGAGCGTTTCAGTAGTGTGTGTGAGAGCGTTTCAGTGATAATGTCCCTTACGGCACCTCATATGAACAACCCCAACAACATGATGTCCAGCCTGATGTAACATAGTATATCCATAAGATGGTTATTCCCTGAAATCATGTTGTCAATTCATTTAACCATTTAGTGTTAATAATGGACCTCAGCCTATGACCCTAAACATTTAAAGTATGAATTAATAATGTAAATGTAAAACAAGCCTAAAGTTCAAACAGACACACAGGTCTGAAGTATGCATTCTACATGTATGGATTTCTATGATATCAAATATTAATATCAGAGATACTAATAAAATGTTGTAACACATTCCTACTGTCGCACCACTCTAAATATTCCCAGTCCCAGTAGACTTAGAAGAACACCAATGGCGAAACTGGTGACCATAACATTTCCTCTTTCCTGATGCTCTCTTTGCATCTCATCAGTGTATTATCGTCCTCCATTTCTCTGAACCAGCATGTGTATCTTCCTCTGCAACTCTAAGACCTGAGTGAGATCCCCATCATTGTTATTTAAAACATGATATCCTCCATGACACTGATGAATGATAGAACGGAGAGATGGATTTTCACGGATTATTTCTTCAATGGAGCGCCCTTGAGCTTCCAGAATGTCTCCATGGGTGAACAAGAGCAAAGAGAAACGTGCTAGGTGTTCTCCAAATATCTGCCGAAGGGTTCTCATTATTCTTCTATCATTTTCCATGAATCTGTTTGGATCGATCACAACCAAGAACACATGTGGACCCGGAGCAGCAAATGTGATGCAGTTGGTGATGTGCCTCTTCACCTCATCTTGATCTTGATTGGGATGGAGCAGGCCTGGAGTATCAACTAAAGCCAGTGTTTGTCCATAAAACTCTTCTTCTCTCCTCAGAGTCACTGGTGCCGCTACAGCAGGAAGCCTCATAGTTTCAAAAGCTCTTCTCCTTAAGATGGTGTTTCCTGCTGCACTCTTCCCAACTCTCGTTTTCCCAACAAGCACCATCCTGAGCTCAGCTTCATCTGTTGGAGAACATCACAGAGACATTATTCATGTCTGGTGCCATTAAAAAACGTATTTCATAACACTGACACTGTGCCCTCTGATTGTAAATTGGATATTAAGAAGATATAGATTTATCCTTCACCAAGAAGAAAATGTAATATGTCTACACCCCTGTATGCTAGACGTAGTAATAAAAGGTACATTCAGGGAATTAAATATAAGAACAACATTTTTTAAAAAAAGAAGTAAAACAGGGTTAGGTTCATATTAAAATCAGATTTATCACAGGGAAATGCGTCTGAACATTAAATGAATATGAAAGATGTAAATATACTTACTGGCCATGTCTGTCAACAATGAATAAGTTGAATAGTTGTTACTTATTTGATGCTGCAGAATAATTATCTTCCCTTATCGGCTGTTTTGTTTCCTCTTTTTCAACACATCAAGGTCAGAGAGAGATCACATTTATTTGCTGTTGAAAAAGGTGGTGCAGCAGCATGACGTAGAATGTTTACAGCCTGACTGAAAGCAGGAAGTATTCCAGTAGGCCTAGAACACCAGGAACTAATTATTTGTAGAGCTCAAGCTCACAGTGACTCCATCAAAGTGACTTCACGACAAAGATTTTGCTTATTACAGAAATCACTCAAAGATATGTAGGAAATCTTTAGGAAAATCTGTTAAAAGTCTTTTAACTCTGTATGTTTTGTCTTTTCTTTTGGCAAATTAATCAGTTAGACAGTAAAAAGGTGGGATAGTTGGGTTTGTTAATGCAACATAAAGAGTTAAACCACACTTAGCTGAGTATAAAAAATTATGAAACCAGAGAGTGAAGGACGGACAAGGTAAGCGACTCATGTTGTAACTGACGTCAGACGCCGGAGATTTTGGCGGAAAATTAAAGCAAATGGTAGTTTAGATTTGAACAAAATTCATTTAAGCTTCAGCATTACCAAATACACTTATCAATTGTCTTATAACTAACACTATTTGTCTAAATAATCTCAAACACCCTGGAGAACAACGAGGAGAGTTT